GGGTGTGGGTGTGAGTGGATGTGGGTGTGGGTGAATGTGGGTGTGTATGTAAAGTAAATCTTCTCTTTAGCAACATCCACACCCACACCCCACACCCACACCCCACACCCATACCCACACCCACACCCAGAAGTTACAAAAATTACAGTTCTGTGAGCTTTCCGCTATGGTGTAATCAGTGTTTCAGATAGATCAAGATTTAGACAATTGAAAACAGCTTTACACCGTCATAAACGAGGCAATCATACATAAAGATAACCTTACCAGTTATGGGGGAGGGGGCAATAAAATCTCATTGCCCTTTGAAAATTTTTTTAGAAGGGGCAATTACTACTCCTCGCCCTCAGGTCGGCCCGCCCATGTTCTTTCTCAATGTAATATACAACGTCTGAGGCAAAATTCATGGCACAAATGTCGATCCTTAGATTTCTTCATAGACACGCTTCTTGAAAGAATATTTTTTTATTAATCGATAGGAAATATTTTCCTCTTTAAAAGTGTATATGAATTGTTTTTATCAGACATTCATCAATAGAATGGCATGAGAAGAAAGAGCGACACTCGAAAAATAATTTCACACTTTTCATATATCTCAAAATAACAGCACAATAGATCGATCATTATATAATTATTTTATTTGAATAGCTGTTTCAATGAGGATTTTATAGCCAGCTCATAGGATATATTTTCCTTCTTGAAATAGTATATACTGTGTTTTTGCCAGACACTCATCATCAGAATGATATGAGAAAAAAATAAGAGAAATGTCCCTAATAGAAATTTTCGATTGTTTTCATTGATTTATCAGAGAAATCTTCTAAAACAGTGATTAATTATTCTACCAAACAAGTACTCGAGAAAAATGGCTGTATATTATAGTGATCAAGCATCTTAAACATGAACGAACAAAATTTTCACGAAAAACTGAGCGTTCAGTAAAAATTTGCCGTTAGAAAATTTGAAGAACTAGTGGATATTTTTTGATAATGAGAGTAATGTAAGCCAACGTAAGTTGGCTGAGTCTTTTTATCTTAACAATAGACAGTCACTTCTCATTTCCGTCGAAGAACACCAGTGGACATACAGGGCTGGCCCGACTGGGGGTTGTTGGGGGTGTAACAACTCCCCAACAATCGAAAATTTTCGTTTTATCCCAGCGGAGCCGAAAATTTTTCTTGCGTTCTGTTAGAAAAAAATTTGACTCCTATTACAAAAAATCGGGACGACCCCCCAAATGTTTGCTACCTCGGGTCGGCCCTGGATGTAGGTGTTGATATGCTCTATATCAAGATTCACATACCTTACACTCTCTTAAGCGAGTCGTGCCGCTAAGCGTTTTCTTTCATATCGTCACTTTCATATAGATATCACTGGTTTTCGGTGCTTTCGATAATATTGACGGTTCGTTCACTTAATCTGGTTCTATGGAAAATAAATTGATAATATCTCCTTCATACATATACTATCTTTTTATCAATAGCAAACTTATGACAAATAAAAATACATGCTTGAAAATCGGCAATGATAGTGTGTGATAGATGGTGTTCTGCAAATTTTTCATTAGTTGATAGTAGTGTATAACTTATTGGACCATCAGATTCTTTCTTTTTTCAACTGACTATGAAGAACGTAAACATTCTATAAGTGAACTTTGTCCAGAGCATTCACAACAGAATGACTGTTTCTAGACTCTTCATTTCAAAATACTAATTGCTGTGCACTCACTGTTTGAGTTTTAACTGTTATTTGACCTTTTTTTTTTAGATTTTATTTTTGTTATTCTTTAGGTGGATACTGTATCTTCTGATAATCAATCATTGAAAGAATATTTTCTTACTCTCAATATCCCACTCGAGGAACGTTGTTATTAAATGTCTTTTTTTTGTTCTAGATCTAATTCGTTGTAACAATCTATATCAAACGAAATATTCATTGTGAAGGTAGAATGAAAAAAATAGTTTTATTAATTTATTATTATTTTTTTCGTTTGTCAGATATTATTTGTTTGTTCGTACGATTACATTTCAAGAAAAGATTCTATTTATCTTGAAGGTAAAATAAAATAGTTTTATTCATTACTTCTCTTTTCGTTTGCTAAATATTATTCGTTGTAAGAATTAATAATCAACGAAATATCCATTGTTAAGATATTGTGGAAGAATAGTATCATTTAGTTTTTCTTGTATTTATAATGGCGTCCGAAAATCGCTACTCAGATAATGCATATTATGAATTATTGAAGTTCTTTTCGTTTTAATTTATGACGACATAGGAACTTTTCCCTTCTTTCATTTTGTCAGCCGTAGTTTTTCTTCTAAGGAATATTTCTATCTTATTCATCGCTCCAT